TGGCAAACTTGCAATTAAGCAAAATTTCCCACTACCCTTGCTATGGCCGGCCTCCTTTTGTTATTGGGCTAAATGCCCATATTTGTTTTAGTTGTCCTACAACTTAAACATAATGGGCCTAGTGGACCAAAACAATTTTGGACCCCGAAGCCCAAACTAACTTAAAAGCCCAATACGAACCTTTCGTATAATTAATTAACTAATTAATTAACTTTGACCATTCTTCAATTAAACCATTTAATTGCTTATCCATTTCATATAATTTCTTCACTAACATCCTTATGTGGTGTGTGATCCATTAGGTTCCAATTAGCGAGGCAGTGGGTGATGTTACTCTTAACGATCGATTGTGAATTGAAACCACATTTCAATTCTCCCTTAAGATTAGTGTTTGCTAATCTTCAGGGCTTCCACAAACCATGAGTGACACCTAGCAGCATATCATGGTTACCCAAGCTAAGTAGAATTGGTTGGAGAACCTATCCAGTTACAACTACAATGCAATACGGTCCTTCTCTAATACAATACTCTTAATCACATTGTTTAAGTGATAGTTTGTTTCATGTCTACTATCCAATGTGATACTTTCCTATATGATTCATTTGAATATGATTTGGAACAAACTTCCTAAGTCATATTCATTTGATTTGGCCAAAGACTTTAGAATCATATCTTAGAGTATTCTCCCTCCACCATGGAAGGTTAGAGATCCCTTGTTGTGCATTCATATGCCTACATGACTAGATAGCTTGACCCCAACAATGCCGTGGACAATCCGAAGGAATGCCGTTGACATGATCAAAGATCAAGGACCTAATCATTAGACATCTATGATGCCTCAGGTCAAAGGACTACTTTGCATATTGTAACTTTAGAGTTCATACATGACATGTATGTTCGAACTCTCTTTTGATCGTCGTTCAGTGTACTCGATTACCTTTTTAGAGCACCTATGTGTTTGTCTTAGTGTCCAACACCAAATGACTTGAGACTAGTTCATACTCACGTTTGAGTCAACATAACACATACTAACCTTAGCGGATTGTCAATGCCCAATTGGCAATCCTATGGCTAGGAACGTTTTAGGAATGAACATAAGAGAATGGTCTCGATAATCTAACTCACTTAGATCACTTGTCTCTTAGATCAAATACATCCCTTGGATTCCCTTATTGCTTAAACACATGATACAATAAATAGTGATTAACAATAAGCTTTGCCCTTCATTAAACATATAAAAGTTTAATACAATAAGTATTCCAAAAGCTATTACATCAAATGAGTGGCTTTGTGGGCATACTTCCAACAGCAGTGTTGCGGGTCTGCCTTGTTATGAAGAACAGAGGTCGACATATATAGAGATTTCTCAATAGCAAGTGGTGGTGATGTGCTTTTACTCTTGTCAGCAACTGTGGTGTAAATAGAACAGTAAGATTTACGCGTTTTCAACTTTGTCAGAGATCTTTGACAAAGTTGCACGCGATATCTGAAAAGCTGAGATTACGTCTGAAAAATGCCAACGAATTTTATTCAGGAAAATCTGGCTTTTGAAATTCGGAGAGCGGTGCCTCATCGATCTTTGAACAAGTGGCTCTGCTGCCTCTTCTTTTATAGAGACATCAATTGTGTTCAAGAGTATGCTCAGAAAGTTGCTGCCTGTAGAAATTTCCCCTATCTTGCACCCTTGAAATTTTATTTTGACCTCTGTTTTTCCTTCATCATTTCTGAAAAATGACTTGCCCATCTAACATTTGCTTAGATTTGAGTCTTAGGAGTGATACAGACGAGCAGCGTCAAGATAATATATGGCGCCCGTCCTTCTTATCTTCTAATGGTCCTCTTACGGTTGGGGACTCTGTGATGAAGAATAACATAACCGCTACTGTGGTAGCTAGGAATCTTCTCACTCCAAGGGATAACAAGATTCTTTCAGAACGGTCTAAAGAGTCGGCCGTTCAAGACTCCTTGGCTCTCAGTGTTCAGTGTGCTGGCTCTGTGTCCAATATGGGCCAACGCCTACTTGCTCAAACTCGCCAAGTTGAATCATTGATGGCGGAGGTGGCAAGTCTTAAACAAGAGATCAGAGGGCTCAAGCACGAGAATAGGGTGTTACACGTGCTTGCAAATAATTACTCTACGAGCATGAAAAGAAAGCTCGTCCAACTGCAGGAATCCGAAAGTCGGATTCAAAGTGATCACCAGAGGTTCGTTGCTAAATTCCGAAAGCAACTGATGCCTTCCCCTTCTGGTGTTTTGCTAAGTATTGGGGTGCCATATGATCAATCTCCAGTGCCTCCCCCTTCTGGGGTACTTCCGAGTACTGAGGCTTCACATGAGCAACCTTTGTGAAGGCTCCATCCTGTTTGTTTGTTTTAACTCATGTGTATGTATATATCTGTAATTTCTTGGAGATATTAATAAATAAGCTTTATTTCATTCAATGTATTGTGCCAAATACAATAAAGCATATACTTCACTAAGATGTGGTACTTCTGGACCAAATATTAATTTATCTTTACCCTCACGAAGATAAATGATTATTCTTAGTGTCTTCATCATATGAGTATTCAACTCATAATCTTCAATCCATATGGTTTTTTTTTAATATCATAAATATCATGGATAAGATTCGTGTTGGTAGATTGTTCGATCTGCAGCTCGAGACAATAATTCCTTCAACACTTTATAATTTTTCTAGACTCTTCAGGAGTCCCAATTTAATATCATCAACTCTTCAAGAGTTCTAATTTAATGTCATTGACTCTTGCAAGAGATTTTAGTATGTTGCAACAATATCATAATGATAGTACTCACTAAGGCAATTTATATCATCCATTGGTATTGAGTACATATTTTTTATGTTTTACCCTTCAGAGGCTTACTTCAAGCAATTTGAATCCTTCAAGGGTTTTCTACACTTCATGACACATTTTCCTTTGGAATTTATACAGAGCAATTTGCTCCCATGTATACTTGAGGGATTTACTTATGGAGATATAATGTGGGCGACTCACAACCCTTCGTATAAAATTCTCCATTCATATGAACTTGTTTACAACCTTGTGTCATATCATGTAAGTGTATTACACTGTATTACAAATGCCCATATATAACCTCCTTGGTTCAACATCTTTTGGCTATTTGTATTGTATTCAAATATATATAGGTTCATTTGCCCACGTTCTTACAAAATTGTAATGGAATTGCCTTTCTCCATTTTGGCCAATAATTTTTCTTTTGTCGACGAACAAAAGAACGTGACTCAATATTAACACAGCTCATTGATGAATTTAGTAGTAGCTACTTGTAAAAACCAAAATTACCATTGGTTATCATCAATCCGTGATCCCATATTCTCATGTGCATGCGCATGCATAAAAGCTTTTCATTTCTTTGGATATCCATTGCCTCTTCAAGGGCATGGCGCTATCTCTTCCAAGATAATCATAATTTAGAGAATGTGGATCATAACCTCCTCTTGAGCGTTATAGAGCTTGGATTTTAATCTCCACTTCCGGGAGTTGAGTCATTGGAACCTATATGTCTATTATGCTCCATGTATGAGACATCAACATTCCCATGTCTGTGGAATGTCCTATCTGGGACGTGTATCCATGCGGCGACTGTCATGCTTCTGGCATGCAACAGTTATGCTTCGGGAATGCAATAGTTCAGTAGTGCCATATTATTCTTCTTTCGAATAATTGAACCTTTTGAGTCTAAAAATCTGCCACGCTTCAAGCGTGCAACAGATAAATCATTTACTGTCTCATTATTTTATCCAACAAAGACATAAATTCTTGTAGGCACATTTGCAGTAAGTATATATGATTTCACCACTTTCGTTGCATCATTCAATTATTCATATTTCATTTTCTCATTGATTGCTTCTTGAATCAAAATAAGACAAATTCTCTTCGTTCTTCTGGAACGGTCTTTTCTCATCATTCTTTTGGAATGATATTTTCTCATCGTTCTTCTGGAACGATGTTATTTTCTCCCCTAATGGCGGGAAAACTGTCTTATCAAAATCATAGTCCGCAAATCATGCGGTAGACATATCCCCAGTCAAGGGTTCCAAATATTGAATGATAGATGGTGTTCAACATCAATGCCTAATCTACATGATGCCTCATTTCAGTACGTTGTGGCAGTCTTACAGGCACATAGACAACACAACCAAAAACTCGTAAATGTATAATGTTTGGTTGGTTCCCAAACCCGAGTTGTACTGAGAAGTATTGATGGTTGATAACATATCTCAACCGAATTAATAATGCATCATGTAAAGTTTACATGTCCCCATGTAGAAAACTGGCAATTTCGTTTTCATGAGCAGAGCGTTGGTAATCAATTTCACCCACTTAATAAATGCTTCTGCTAAACCATTTTGAGTATGGACATGAGGAACTTCTGGTCCTTATTTAATAGTCTGTGAACTGAGACTCTTATGTCCTTTATTATGGTTAAGTTGAGGCATTACGGCACTTTAAACTTACGGTACTCATCAAGGAATTTCATGTCCTGATCTTTAGGATCAAAGGACTTCATGCCTGATCTTTTTGTATGATGGAACTTCAGGTCCAATCATTTGTATATGATGAGGATCAAGAAACTGCAGGTTCTGATCTGATCAATGAACTTTAGGTCTTATATATAGTCATTGTAACAAAAGATAAGTGCAATAAATAAATTAAAGCAATAGGCGGTAATTCCAGCCATAGTAAATAAATTGAACAATAAATAAATTAAAGCTTGTGACAAGGGCTTTAATTCAGCACCATTCACATAAATCAAAACTTAAAGCAGTAGGCGGTAAAACTGTCCATGATAAATAAATTGCTTTAAAGTAAATAGAACTTGTGACATGGGCTTTAAACCAACACCGTGCACATAAATAAATATATACATATTTTCTTCTTTCTTTTCAGATGATGTAACACCATCCAAAAACCTTTACCTTTATTATTATTTTTCTTATTCATTCACATGCTACAACATTCCAAAAACTTTTGGTTTTATTTCTTTTATTTTACATGGTGCAACGCACCTTTCTAAATCATTGGCCCCATTTCCCCTTTTCTTTGTCTATCTCTACCAGTCTCGAAACCCAGTACCAGCTGGGTTGTTGTGGGGGTTACACAAAACCAATTCAATCCAAAAAGGCTACCAGAGACTGGCGTTGTTCTTGCATGGCCCAAAGAACATGGCATCGCAAAGCAAGAACCTCTCCATAGAGACATAGATGACAGAGAGGTTGACGAAGGCACAAGAGATGGAGGCCTGTGTGGAGTCAGTCATGCCATCACCATCTCAGACAACTGAGGATTCATGGAGGTCCTCGAGATCCATTGAGAACGACACGATCTGGGTTTCCAAGTCTAATGAGATTCTTCTGGATCTCTGGAAACCAGTTGTCAGGTACGACTTTTCTTATCTCGTGACAACTTCAAGTCGTTGGAAATTTCAATTCGCACCGGAATTCGGTGGGGCGCTTCTGGCGCGGTGGGAGAAACGAAAAATGGACATACCTTTGCTTGTTTTGCTGCACCTTTGTTTGTCTGTAAGATCTCTCCATCTTTCTTGTCCACGAGAGAAAAAATAGATTGCAGGTCTAGCAGGGATAAGGTGAAGGAAAAATATTGTCCTAGCTAAGAACAAGTATGAACATTTGAATACACATGCAAGCTATCAACACTTTAAAGTAGGCATGCATCCAAAAACAATTCATAAAACCCATGACTTTCAAAGCCTAGTATATGGTGAACCAAAATAAACTCTTTAACAAAATTAAAGAGAAGTAAAGATTTTGAGATTCTTTACCCTTGAAGCTCATCCTTGTTTACACAAGGGATTCACCCAAGTGGAGGGCCTTCAAGTCACCTCCAAGCTCCTTGAATCATCCTTGTGTTTTCCTCCCTTTAGTGCTCCTTTTATGATTAGAGGAAAAAGGATTTGTTCTCCAAAAACATCAAAAGCTTGATGTCTCTAAGTCTCTTCACCAAGGTTGTATATTGTGAAGATGATATGGATGACTTAGAGAGATTTTAGATGCTAGTAAAAATCCTCTAAGTGGCCGGCCTCTATGTAGAAAAAGGAGAGAAAATGTTCACCCAATTTCTATTAGAAAACCCTAATGAGAAAATTCCTATAAAGTTGCTTTTATAACATTTTCTTTGGTGAGTGGCAAACTTGCAATTAAGCAAGCTTGCCCATTCACCCTAATGGCCGGCCTCTCCTTGTTATTGGGCTAATTTGCCCATTTTGTTTTAGTTGTCATACAACTTAAACATAATGGGCCTTGTGGACCAAAACACTTTTGGGCCCCGAAACCCAAAACCAACATATAAGCCCAATACGAACCTTTCGTATAATTAATTAACTAATTAATTAATCTTGACCATTCTTCAATTAAACCATTTAATTGCTTATCCATTTCATATAATTTCTTCACTAACATCCTTATGTGTGTGTGCGATCCATTAGGTTCCAATTAGCGAGGCAGTGGGCGATGTTACTCTTAACGATCGATTGTGAATTGAAACCACATTTCAATTCTCCCTTAAGATTAGTGTTTGCTAATCTTCAGGGCTTCCACAAACCATGAGTGACACCTAGCAGCATATCATGGTTACCCAAGCTAAGTAGAATTGGTTGGAGAACCTATCCAGTTACAACTACAATGCAATACGGTCCTTCTCTAATACAATACTCTTAATCACATTGTTTAAGTGATAGTTTGTTTCATGTCTACTATCCAATGTGATACTTTCCTATATGATTCCTTTGAATATGATTTGGAACAAACTTCCTCCTAAGTCATATTCATATGCTTTGGCCAAAGACTTTAGAATCATATCTTAGAGTATTCTCCTTCCACCATAGAAGGTTAGAGATCCCTTGTTATGCATTCATATGCCTACATGACTAGATAGCTTGACCCCAACAATGCCGTGGACAATCCGAAGGAATGCCATTGACATGATCAAAGATCAAGGACCTAACCATTAGACATCTATGATGCCTCAGGTCAAAGGACTACTTTGCATATTGCAACTTTAGAGTTCATACATGACATGTATGTTCGAACTCTCTTTTGATCGACGTTCAGTGTACTCGATTACTCTTTCGAGCACCTATGTGTTTGTCTCAGTGTCCAACACCAAATGACTTGAGACTAGTTCATACTCACGTTTGAGTCAACATAACACATACTAACCTTAGCGGATTGTCAATGCCCAATTGGCAATCCTATGGCTAGGAACGTTTTAGGAATGATCATAAGTGAGAGGTCTCGATAATCTAACTCATTAGATCACTTCTCTCTTAGAACAAATACATTCCTTGGATTCCCTTATTGCTTAAACACATGATACAATAAATAGTGATTAACAATAAGCTTTGCCCTTCATTAAACATATAAAAGTTTAATACAATAAGTATTCCAAAAGCTATTACATCAAATGAGTGGCTTTGTGGGCATACTTCCAACATAAGGATTAGCACATCAATAGTTAGAGTGATAAAAGAAAAGTGATAAAAGAAAGGTTGATGGAATTTTGACAAGATGATCTTCCCTGTTTGACATGTCTGGCTTGCCGTCTCTACTCTGTGAGATTTTAGCTGACCGAGGTGAGAGGTAGATAATGCTTCACCAGATTTATGATGTTGTGCTTTCCACTAACATGAGAGCTTTTCGTGCTGATAACGTGTTGTGAAATCGACTGTGGGTGCAGTGGAATAAATGAAACAAGACACAAAATTTACGAGGTTCCTCTACAGTCAATGTGACTGGAGTACGTCCTCGGGGCAGCAGTGGTGCTTTCATTATAATTTGAAATAATAGGAGTACAAAGATAACTCTCTTTATATCTCCCCCTCATCTTCCTCTTCTTTCCTCTCTCTCTCTCTTCCTTTCTTCCTTTTTCCTTCTTTTCTCCCGTGAACCCCTAATCACTTCATCTCCTCTTCTTCCTTTATATAAACAAAAGAAAGCACTATTCACTTTACAAATTTTCCACAAATGAATAGTGAAAATACTGTGCATAAATAGTAACAAACTATTCATGTGGACCATTCACATAATATTTACAACAATCCCACCTTTGTCCCAAGCAATTATTATTATGGGTGAACTGTTGATTTAGTCCTTAAATTATTACCTTATTAAAAATTAAGTCCCTAAATTATTATTTTTTTAAGAAAAATCCGTCCTCAAACTAATAAAATTACCAATTACATCCCTAATATTAGATTTCAATGTATTCTATTCAATTTTTCATCAATTTAAATCACGTGACTTGCATGTTAACTTTAGAGAATAGATTGGTAGTTTTTCATGGTTTAAGGGCATATTTTTTTAGAAAAATAGTGTATGGAATTAACTTTGAAGGGTAAATTAGACATTAGATTTATAACCTATACACAACATTAAGAGCTTATAGGCAAGAAAATGGTGTCAATGTCCTCTAAAATAAGCCATGTGACTTAATTTGATGAAAAAAATTAATAAAATAGCTTTAAGTATAATATTAGGTACGAAATTAGCAATTTTTAATGAATTCTAAGACTTATTTTATTGAAAAAGTAATTCAGGCACCTCATTTCCATTAACATGATAATTCAGGACAAAATCGACAGTTCACCCTATTATTATTATATAAGAATAGTAAGTAAAATTTCCCGTAATTTGTGGTACCGTTTGCATGTCGGATTTGGAAACTTGTCAAACAAGAAATCCCACTCCTAATACTATTAATAGTCCGAGACTCCGATTAGGTTTCATTAAGTACAGAAGTCTCACCTCCCCTGCCCTATAAATACATACATCGGGGGTCTCTGTAGTACAGAAAGCCTAAGTTCCTAGTTAATATTCTCTTTTCGTTTACTTCTGCCTTGCAAGTCTTCTTCCTGTTTAATTTATTTGCTTGTTTACCATGATCATGGCTTCTAACGACGACGACGCAGCAAGAAAACTCATGTATTACCTGTTGGCCCAAAAGATTTTTGACTCGTATGAACAAACGGAAGATGGTGATTATGATGGCGATGATGATAGTGATTCCTCATCAGTGCTTGAGAATGACAAATTTGAACATGATGAAGATGAAGACTCTTCCTGAATTCCACGGTCTCAGCCCCCGAGTTGCATCGTATTTTGAATGCAATATGTGTCTGAAATTGGCAACAGAACCAAGGATGGCGAGCAAATATATTTCCCAAAATGCAAACTCCGTAGAAATTCACAAGCTGTTGGGCATCATACATGTTGGACACGATACAATTCCTTCACAATGACCATTGTTTATGAATGATTCAGACAACTCTTGGAAAACGACCAAAACAAATTATTGCTCTTTAACCAAAACTTAAGCTCTTTAACTATATTAACCAGTAAGTTCACACATGATATCTTGACCCAGCAGAAGAGGCAGTGGAAGTAACATTATCAAATGATTATTCTTCTCCTCTTACTAATGCATGATTACCATGAATGACATCCTTATGTCTGTTCACCCCTTTCGATGAACCAAGACGGACGCAGTCATTAAGCATTTAACCAAGGGAATACTTTGGGTGATGATGGCAACCGAGCTGTAAGAACTTCAACTCCAGTCTCTGTCACCTATGCATGTGTAGGAAGAATAAACCACGAGATTAGAGATACAAGATCATCGTATAGATAGCAATTCAGCAAACAGATGTGAATAACAGGGATTAACTCGGACTAATATCCATGCAACGCCAACTATTACTTAGTGTATTTGTTAATAGATGCATAGCATTGCAATTCAATGTTGGGATAATTTGATATCTAAAACCTGTAAATCTCCCGCTGCAAAGATCTCCATCACCTTTACTATCCTCTCATACCATCAATAATCGAGTATTATCCATCGTTACCATATTGAGTAGAAGACTTATTTATTTTCTTTTACACAAATGAGTTGACTCATTTATACCCTAGAACAAACCTCACTAATGATATTATGAGAAACATAAGGAAGAAATGTTAAAAGAACATGTACAGATCATTCCATGGAATTTGAGTATTAAAACCGCATAAGCACTTCTAATAACTATAATGCAGTCACCGTTGCAGAAGTTGAAAGCATGCTACACATAGAACATAAACTGCATAGTTACCAGAAGTGTGTGCTCAAACTGTGCACTGCGCTTGCCATCTGCTGTAACAACTGTCCATCCATCAGGCCACATCCGATCACGCCAAACCCCTGTTCATGTTTTATTTATTTAAGATGTAGCAAACAATTAAAGAACATATCACCCCCCAAGTGCTCATAAAACAAGCTTTGAAATATACCTGCATTTATCATGGGTTCAATTGTAAAAGTCTGTCCAGCTTTCATTACACCAACTGCTTTGTTTCCTGTTTGGGTAAAGGTAATGTATGTTAAAGGTGCAAGCTATAAAAAGTGTAATTCAGATATAAAGAAGTTTCTTTGTTGAACATACTTGTGTAATGGGGAATATTTGGTGCACAATGAAAAAGCTCCCCAATACCATGACCACAATATGATTTCACCTGTTGGTGCAATACAAAATTAAGAGGCATGATTTGTTAAAATTGAAACTGCATCACAACTCAAAACTCAAGCTACAAATTACCACACAGAGAATCCCGACATTGTTGTTACATGGCGATTAATGACTTCACCGACTTCACGGAATCGCATTCCAGGTTTTACTGCACTTGTACAAAAATCAATAAATAAATAAATTAGAAATATACTTTCCCTTTTATGCTTTTTGTTAACAACGATTGAAATTACCAGAGTGCACTCTCAAATAGGGGTTAAATAGGTTGACTTTTCAACATTTCAGTTACCATCAGGTCAGGTGACAAGATTGCACTTATAACTAAAAAATCTTCACAGAATTTACTGATACAATTACGCAAACACAACCACAAATACATTTTAACAATGATTACTTACAAGTTACAACTTCCATGGTACCAAAAGTAATAAAAAGCACATCAGATAAAACGATTAGTATACCATATAAATGAATATTAGGTAGCTGATAAAAGGTGTGATGACTTTCAGTGATGTAATTGAGTTGCATGATTGTTAAAGCAATAATTAGTGATGGATGCGTTAAAAAGGGAGATCAGGGAGAGATATTTATCTTAAAATTGGTATATCATACTGTGCACGTACCGATGGATATTGCTTTCTCCATGCTCTCATAAGTAGATTGGACTAGCCGTTGAGACTCTTCATCAACATTTCCCACAAAGTATGTTTCATTTAAATCACCTGCAATATGAGTTCGGCAGTTCAAGAATAGAACACGTGTTTTCAAAATTGAACTACATGATACTGTCTAGAATACAAATTACCATGGACGCCTTTATAATACACAGTCACATCAACATTGATTATATCACCATCCTCTAATTTCCTGGAGCAAAAGTTTCGCATTAAACATAAAAAGGTCATAATGCTAGAAACCAAGGGATTTAACTATTCTAAAGTAGACACGAATTTCAAGTTCTGGACCAATTTAAACACAAAGAAAAAACAAAGAAAAAGATGCAGGCAAAAAGCAAAGCGTTTTCTCAGGTAATGTACCCCAACGCAATACAAACTCATGCCAGTTCATTAAAGTTACCAAAGTGTTGTTCCATAACAATAGTATTTCAGGACCGAAAACTGAACTGGCAAGAAACAAAATTACAACATACACCAACAAATGTTTTCAATAAATACATATATAGGCAACAGTAAGAGTATGTCCATATTCCTTTTCAATACCATCTTCCAAACAAAAATAAAAACAAAATCTCAAATAAAAAAAAATCTCAAACGCATACCTGGCATCAGGAATACCATGGCAAATTACTTCATTGACTGACCTGCAATGAAGAGAGTTAACAAGACGCAATTGCAAGGTCAGTACCACACAATCTCAAGAAACTTCACAAAAATATTTACGCAAAAAGTACCTACGTGCAGCAAGACTTGGGGAAAAAATGGTAGTTGAGGAGATGGATATCCACCTGCATTGAGTTAAAAGTGAAACATCATTACACCCACAATTTTTTATTCTGAACAATATAAAAATGCAGATAGTAATGATTATAACCACATGGCCATTCCAAAGCATATGACAGATCAATGAGGTTTGGCCATAGACTTAAAAGGTAAAGGCATAGACAGTTACAATAATAGACAATGAAACATAGTAATTGAAATTCTAAATAAAAGGGAAACTCATTCTATACCAGCAGCAATAGTAGCCTCATGGACCACCCGATCAATTTCATCTGTTGTGATACCAGGCCGTATTACACGAGCAGCGGCATCTAAAACCTCCCTTGCAATCTAACAAAACGATTATGACAAGAATATCATAATATTAGTAAATTAAAAGTTACATGCCGTAGCAAGATTAATTAAAATTTAAACTGAACACAGAAAATTCTTCTTGAACATATTCAAAACGGTATAATAACATTGTCTCACATTCAGATAAATAGCACATGTTAATTTTTTTGCAGTGCTGAAAGTACAACAGATAATAAAAGTGAAATAATA